TTTAGGTTAACTTGTTTTCTTTTTTATTTTTCTGCAAATAAACCTTTTTGAATTGTGAACCAGATTTCTCTCTGTGTTGTGAGGGTTTAATCATTGTTTTTTCTCTCACAGTGGCAAAGGGCTGCAGGAGGCCGTTACGGCCGAAAACAGGGCCCAAGAGCCCATTTTCATTGGCAGAGAAATAAAGTATAGTTCTCAGATATTAAAAAAAAAAGAAAACAAGTTAACCTAAAACTGTTTCAACAGCTTCATATGCAATAAGCAACTTCCCCTTTCTCTAAAGCTGGCTCCAGGACGCATCATAACTGCCGTTCGTTTCTCAGGACCAACCTGTGAAAGCTGCAGGAGCATTCAGGGAATCGTTTTCCCACACGAAGTAGCAGACGTGCCCCGCGGTGTGGCCTGGAGTGAGAAGGCACCGTACGTTGATACTGCCAAACTGTACAAAAGAAAAGAAGGATGGGTGTTGTGTGTCAAAGCCCAAGACATGGGTGGATGTTGTGTGTCGAAGCCTGGCATTTTCTTACCTTTTGAGGAATGTAAGGGGAGAGAGGGCCATGTGGGTTGTATCTCCCGAAAGCCAGAAGAGAATACCCGAGAAAGTTCCCTTATCACTTTCTCAGAGTGGCCAGTACAATAATATCTTCACACTGGTGGCTTGGCTGAATCCACACTGGACTGTTAGGAGGGGTTTCTAATTCCTTTTATTCTAACTGGATGGCCTGAGGGCCCTCAGATCCTGCTTTGATTACGTCCTGCTATCACTTCTGTTCAATAAAAGATTCCTTTTGAAATGCTAAGTTTCAAGAGTCTTTACTTTCTTGAATAAGGAGGCAAGGCCGGGCCTTACACATACTGTGATACCACAATAATGCTGAAGAAGGGTGTGATCCGTTCCATGCTTACCTTTAATTCTTCCTCATGAGTCACGCGGTGTGTCAGAGCTCCCACCCGTTCGTCCCCACCATATATCTCCAGGCCAGGATAAAGTTTGGCCAGTTCTTCATTGTCTCTCGCATGATCCCTTGGGAAAAAAGGAGGAAGAGGGAAGGTTTTTTTCCTTCTCTTCGGCCATCTCCAATTTGGAGGAGAGAGAAGAGACTATCAAAAAGAAAGCAACTCTGTATGGGAAGCCCGAGATTTCTATCACAAGATCCTGAAGGTGGGACACCCTGAATCATCTGGATCTGGAGAAAGACCACGAGAAGGACAGGATAAACAGCAAATCACACAACTACCAGACAAAAAGCACCATTTCCTCCTTCCGGAAGGGCAAGGGGTCAGGGAACAAAGATCTAGCCGTATGACTACCAGACGAATGGGAAAACAAGGTACAATGCAACAACCTCAATAATCACCGGCCATTGATCAAGGAGTTGTGATCTGAACTCTCTACAGAAGAGAAAGAAAATATTTCACTATCTCAAACAGTTCAAGAACGATATAATTTGCCGGCAAGAAACTCATATCAAATCAACTGATCAAAAATATTTGTTCAACCCCGAACTTGGTCAATATTTTGTGACCTCTGCTACGGAAAAGAAAAATGGTATAGTTGTATACTTAAGAAAAGACATTAAGGCTGAACTAATTGAAGCAGATCCCTTTGGAAGATATATCGCATTAGACCTAATTCTAGAAGGGAAAAAGACTTGATGGACAACTTCGAATTGAGAAATGTTTGGCGAGAAAGAAACGCAGAGGCATATGACTTCACCCCTTTTTCTGATGGACATCAATCCCTTTCAAGGATTGATTTTATACAAATCACTAATGATTTATTTTCTAGGGTGAAGAAGACAAAGATTGCGGCGAGGGTTCTCTTGGATCATAACCCAGTCTGGACGGAATTGGGAAGGGTAGTGCA